TAACCGTACCCTCCTACTACTACCGTACCGCCCGACCCCTACCTACCACCCTACCTACTATATACTACCTACCTCCGTACTCACTCTCTAACAACAACTACTCTCTCTCTCTCTCTCTCTCTCTATCTCTCTCTCTCTACAAACACTTGTTTCTCTCTCTATACGCCTTAACCTCTCTCTCTTTCTAACCCATTCTCCCGAGAAATCACCACCTACTACTTAACTCATTCTCACGAGAAACCACCGCTCTCTCTCTCTCTCTCTACTTTGCCATCCTAACTTCATCTCCTCAAGGCTCAAGTGACCATCTCTCGTACAAACTCCCAATTTCTCTCCTCTAAAATGGCTCAATCTCAAAACATATTCTCGCCCCCTCTCACCGGAATCCGCAACTCCGGCAAGAGCTCTTGCGTCCGCTCCGCCCGTCTCAGCCTCATTGCACCTCCCCCCATTCTCCCCAAAGAAGTTGAGACGCCCGCAGCCCCTCTCCCCAAGCCCTGCCCCACCCCTTCGCCTCCACCCCAACCCCTCACACCGATAACGCCTCACTTGTGCGAGCTCAACCCCCTCCAGAGGCTGGCGGCGAGCATCATTGACACTGTTGAGGCCACCATAGTTGAGGGCCTTGAGCGCCGCCACCCCCTTCCGCCCTCAGCCAACCCCTCAATTCAACTCTCTGGAAATTTTGCTCCTGTCGTTGAATCCCCCGCCTGCCACAAACTTGTTGTCGAAGGCGAAATCCCTAGCTCTCTTGACGGCGTCTACGTCCGAAATGGTGCGAACCCGATGTTCGAGCCCTCTGGAGGCCACCACCTCTTCGACGGGGACGGCATGCTCCATGCCGTTAAGCTCTGTCCTGAGTCCAACACTGCGAGCTACGCATGCCGGTACACACGGACGCACCGCCTCTCCCTGGAGGCGGAGTATGGGCGCGCTCTATTCCCGAAGGCTATTGGGGAGCTTCATGGCCACTCGGGGATTGCTCGACTCCTACTGTTCCAGGCTAGAGCCGCATTCGGGTTGCTCGATGGTGGTTGCGGCGTCGGGGTCGCAAACGCGGGACTCGTCTACTTCAACGGGCGGTTTCTCGCCATGTCGGAGGACGATCTGCCATACCATGTCCGCCTGACCGACTCCGGGGATCTCGAGACCGTGGGTCGGTACGATTTCGGGGGCCAGCTCAAGTCGAGCATGATTGCTCACCCGAAGCTCGACCCCGATACTGGAGAGCTCTTCGCATTGAGCTACGATGTTGTGCGCAAGCCCTACCTCCGATACTTCGTGTTCGAATCCAACAGCCGAAAGCGCCTCGACATCCCGATCACACTCGGCGAACCGACCATGATGCACGATTTCGCCATCACAAGGACCAAGGTCGTGATCCCTGACCAGCAAGTCGTGTTCAAGCTCGGCGAGATGGTGCACGGTGGCTCGCCCGTGGTTCATGACCCGAACAAGATGTCTCGGTTCGGGGTGCTCTCGAGATACGCCACCGACGAGTCTGGAATTCAGTGGGTCGACGTCCCCGACTGCTTCTGCTTCCACTTATGGAATGCGTGGGACGCTGCCGGGGATGACGAAATCGTCGTGATCGGCTCCTGCATGTCGCCTCCTGATGCCATCTTCTCCGACCAAACCAATCACAAATTGAAGAGTGCATTGACGGAAATTCGATTAAACCTGCGAACCGGCCAGTCAAGTACTCGCGAGCTTGCTTGCGGGCTCGACCTGGAGGCAGGGCAAGTGAACAGGAACCTACTGGGCCGGGCCACGCGATACGCGTACCTGGCAATCGTCGAGCCATGGCCCAAATGCAGGGGCTTTGCCAAAGTGGATCTCGAGACTGGTACAGCACATGAGTTCACATATGGAGAAGGGAGGTTCGGGGGCGAGCCATGCTTTGTTCCGGCGGAGCGTAAGGGTGGTCGAGAAGACGCAGGCCATGTCGTGACGTTCGTCTGCAATGAGAACACCGGGCAGTCGGAGTTGCTGATTGTCGACGCATCGAGTTTGCGAATCACCGCCACGGTGAGGCTGCCGAGCAGGGTGCCGTATGGTTTTCATGGCACCTTCGTGAGCGCAGAGGGCCTTATGGGGCAATGGCGGTAGCTCGTGGCTTCTTCGTTGCCGGAGTAGAGAGAGGAACTGTAAATAACACTTGAAGAGTATTATCATTTTCCGTAACAAGAGAGAAAAAACTGGCATAGATTTTCAAGGAAAGCCCGTCTTATCAGCTGACCTGAATGTAGGTGGCTGGAAATCACAAATTTCATCGATATTTTGGGTTTTCCGTGATCTGACACCACCATTTTGGCCGGATATTTGGATTCTCGGGGCTGGAAATCACAATTCTGGCCCAACTGACTCCAACTATAGGAGATTGCGAATTCGAGCCGGAATTTTGAATAACGGCGCCCGAAAAAATTCTAACGAGTCAAAATCACCCACTGGGCCCATATGGAGGGGGCGAGGGACACGTGGCTGATGGCAGTTCCATTATCCGACAGGGATTTATTCGAGCTAAAATTTAAATGGGAACTTTCGGACACGTGGCGGGTAGTGGGTGGTTAAGATCAACGTGGAGTGTGGGGACCAGGAGGTGACCGCAGGGGACGTAAGGGACGGCGTCAGTGGAATATTATAATGGTGGTGCAGAGGAAACGTGTTGTGCCGGCGCCCGGAGATCCAGGGGGACGTGATATGCGACGTCAGCAAAATAGAGTCTTGTGGTTTTTGCTGAGAAAGAGAGAGAACGGAAAGTAGAGAAAATATGGTTGGAAGCGGGCCGGAGCTGGGCCAGTCCTGCTCGGGCCTTTGTCTAGTACTTGTCTCTGGGTTTTGGATTGATCCGGCCTTGGCTTTTGTCTAGTACTTGTCTCTACAGTTCAAATAAGATGAGGCAACGTCGGTTTGAATTAAATCCGCTCTAATCGTGATTTTATCTTTAAGCATTTTGTAATTTAGGCTCGACTGTTTTTTTTTTCTAATTATTTATTTATTTTTATTTTATATCTTCAAAGATGGCCCCTGCGGATTGAGATGGATACAATGCCTCTAAGTGAGGTTCAGCAGCATTGCAGCCTAAAGTGGAAGGGAGTTTGTCAGCACTTGAAAATCTACGACGTCTAAATGAATGTTGTTTAATCTCTTTTTGCAAGGAGGTGATCCCAGTTTTGTATATTTCCCTTTGTAGTAAATAACTATAGGATAAAGCATACCGACCGAAACCATTTGATATTTTGTACATTTCCTCATATAGTGATGTAAAGTTTTTTTAAGCTTATCAAAACACACAAATTCATACAATATAGAGAGTACTTGTATAATAGGAAGCTTAGATCCATAACCCCACCCTTCCCTCTCTCTAATAATAGCAAGCTGACTTAAATGGCTTAGGACCACTAGATGCGAATCTCACCTAATTCCCTTCACCCTTATTCAGAAACAATAACATTTCAATGCACATTAATCAGCAGTTACAACATTAATCAGCAATTACAACATATGTGAGTCAAAGGACCCTTACATGAATGAAAAAATAAAAGGAAAAATCATCTAAAACAAATCAAATGTTTAAAAATGTAAATGGGATTATTATAGGATCAGGGTGTCTAAATGTCTAAAAATATTGAGCATTTTAAGGGTTTATGCCGCAAATGATGTAGCGTAACAAAGCTAGTATTCCAAAACTCAAACAGGTAGGGTGGATTTAACCAAACTCAGACAGGTAGGGTTTATTAGAATTTTTTTTATTTGAGAAACAGTAACATTTCATTGCACATTAATAAGCAGTTACAACATTAATCAGCAGTTACACAGATGTGAGTCAAAGGACTCTTACATGATTGAAAAACAAAAAGAAAAACCATCTAAAACAATTCAAACAATAATAAGAGTATCAACGGAAACTCCCAACTTTGCCAATCTATCAGCCCTCATATTGCATTCCCTAATTAATTCAGCGTTCCTTATATATATGGTTAAATTCACTACCATACTACTACATTCCTCAATTGCTTCTCTAATTAATTCGTGTTAAGACCAAGGATAATCCATTTCCTTCTTTAACCATTTTATAACGTTCACTAAATCTCCCTCCACTGTTAATGGTTTTTTAAACCTCTTGCCAAATTAACTCCTTGCAAGGCAGACTTTAACTCTGCCTCATTTGCCATAATCCTTGTTGTTGGTCCATAGTATTTGAGCATTGCCCAAACAGTCTCTTACAATATCACCTACCCCAGCAAGTCAGAGTTCCCTATTGAACTGCCATCAAAATTTAGTTTAATCCATCCATTCTTTAGACACTGCGAAATACCCACCCTAATTTCCTTCCCGCTTTTCTCCTTAAATAAAACATGGAGAATATCCATCATATCCAGTCAAGACACCCCCCCACTATTCATCTTCGATAGCTAACCAAGCTGTGATTCTAATTTTTTCAATTAATTCAACCCCTGTTTTAGCACTATCTTGAAAACAATGCCTATTTCTTTCTTTTCAAAATCTCCCATAGAACAACTGCTCCAACAACTTTCAAAATGAGTTTTCCTTTTATACCAATCCCTTCTATTCCCAACCCACACAATAACTTCTCAACTTGCAATGGAATATCCTCTTGTTTTCCCAGCCATGTAAGACACCACTGCCAAACAAAGCGAGCATAACCACAGTTAACAAACAAATGATCAACAGTTTCCTTTGCATATTTACAAAGGATACATATATTGGGTAATATTTTCCCACGCTTCCTCAACAAATCCACATTGAGCAGTCTCTTTAGTTTCATCAACCATAGAAATGCTCAAACTTTTAAAGGAATAGGCCATTTCTAGATTTTCGCTAAATCAACATCTTTCCATTGAATACGATCCTCAATTAACAATTTACGATTTAACAGAGAAAGCCTCATTTTTACTTATTTCCCACACACACTTGTCCTTCTCCTCAGGACAGTAGAAGTATTGTTGCAACAATCAATCAATCTCTCTCTCTCTCTCTCTCTCTCTCTCAATAGAAAAAATAGCATTGGTTCAAATGTAAAGGAAGTTCTTAAGCTTCTTTGAAGAAGTTAGCTTTTTAAATTGGTCTTGTATGACTTATAAACGTAGTTACCTCTCGAATTAATTGGAAAGTGTATAAACAGACTATTTACATATGATATAAAGAGGTTGCAATCACTCTTGTCCGTTAGATCTCAAATTGAGAGGATGTAAGAGTGTCATTGTCTAGACTCAAAGATCAGAAGAAGAAAAATTCCAAATCATCCAACTCGATATCTAATGACTAAAAGGACATGTAACCTTCTTGTAACAATAATAAATAGTCCCACAGTATATAATCCCAATTTAATAGACAAAGATTTACGGGTTAAAGTTACCCATCACAAATGCCACATTCTTAGTGTCTATAGGCCACTATTCTATTATTTTTATTAATATCCTACATGGATTGGGTTTTGCAACGAGTTACAACTTTTCTGCCACTATTGGGATTTTGTGTGTATTAATTATAGTTAGATACAAAACATATTAATTTATAAGGAAAATAACTCTATATCCCTTAATTTTAGGTTTTATTCTTGATAAACCCAAAGTTTCAAAAGATATCTTCTAACCTTCTTGCCACTCTAAATCTATTTTTTAACCTAAACAAACATGAGATTGACATGCTTTTTTTAAACCCAATTATTTCTCTTTCTTCACTTATATACCTCAAACTTCTCTCTTTCTCTCTATTCTTGTGTATTTCACTCTCTCTCTTCCTTTGTTTATCCAAACACCTCTCTCTCTCCCGATAACCTCTTACCTCTATGAAGCCGTTCTCTCTCTCTAGAAGTTTGGGAGGATGACTTTAGAAAAGGCATAACTTTTTAAATTTGTTTGGCCTAAAAAACAAGTTTAAATTAGAGGATTAGAAGATATAAAATCTATAATTTTTATGCCCGAAGATATCTTTTAAAACCTTGGATCTATTGTGAAATGAAACTTAAAAATAAGGGGTATGGAGATGTTTTTTCAAATTTATATTTAGATACAAAACACTATACGAAATGCCTCACTATGAGCTTCTCTCTATCCTTCTATTTACGCAATGACCTCACGACATTTATTCAGTTAATTGAGGATTTGTATTTTCTTTCATAAATGACTCTCTCCTGTCATATGGCCAAGATTAAAGTGTGGAGAAAAACATTCAAATATTTTTTAGTAACTTATTTTTTAACTTCTTTTGAAATCAATTTGTTAAGGGGTTTCGGATGTTTGAACCAGGAATATCCGTATGATCACTTTCCTAATCTCACTCACAAAACGAACTGTGTATATAGGTATTTCTCATATGGCTTCAAGGCAAATCACCTTTAATGTGCATAAAAAAGTTAGCCAAAGAGGCGGTTTCTAAAGGTGAAGTAATGGTATGGCATACTCGCCACCCGATTTTTTCTTAGTGCCTTTTATTTTATATGATGTTGCTGATGTTCCCTTCTCGAGGGTTGTAATAGAATTATCCTAGTAATTTTTTCTTATTTCTTTCAATAAAAAAAGGTAAGGACCCTACATCCCTATCCACCAAAAAAAAAGTCGGTCACAATGGTTAGGATTTAAGTGATCTCCCTGTTCCGAATGTAGCAAGACCTTTTAGACCCCTCAATTTTATATTGCTGGGGATGACCTAAATATATCCCAAAAAGTAAATTATCGAGGAGAAATTAAGAGATCACAGTTGATCTCTTTATGAGAGGAATATGATGTTAGGATAGGGATATCGCGGGTTCATATTGATATACATCATTATGGATGTATTGGTATATATCTCTTGATAAGATTATTTATTTAAATTATAAAAAGAGACCAAGTCAAAATTACTTGATTATAAAGTTAGTTTGGTGATAAAGCATCATACTATTTACCTATATCTCTAATAACCATATCATATTTACTCCAAAAATCATATCATATTTATCTCCTGTAATTGTATGATTGTCTTTTATATATGAAAGTACTTATTGATGTAAACATTCATCCAAAACAGTAAAGATTTAGCCGATTGGAGCTTTAGATCCGTGAACATAAAGCTTCGGCCTGAACCATGTAAATGTTGTATTTTTC